CTCTCCTCAGACTCCTCAATGCATGTCAAGTGTGTGTGAACTCGCCTCGAAATTAGAAAGAGAAAACATCTTTCTAACCTTGTAAACTTTTCCCAATACATCCTCTCTCGCCTGAACTCTGGGTGACAATGACAGGCTGATTATGTTCTGAAGGCAGATGTGACCACATGTCAGAAATGTACTCACTCATTGTGTAGCAGTCAATCTGACATGAGGGCAACAGGTGGCAGATCTGCTGAAAACAATGTGCAGAAGCATAATGATGCCACTTGCTATTGGAGCTATTGTTACGCTTCCAAATGCTGCTGGAACTGTTGAAATTACAAGCCAGGGACATACTCATCATTAGAGGCATTTTTTTATGTTTGAAATTTCTCTTGAGTTTATAATCTATAACCTCATTAGCATAATTAAACAGGATCCTTGAACAGAATTCTTGTGTTGTATTAATTAGTTATTCTGTTGATCAGATGCAATCCTGTCATGCAGAATGACAGAAACTTGTCCTTGAGTCTTTGAATAAATTGTACAGAAACTAAACCTAAGTTCCTTAAAGGTCTCCTATTATACTATTTTTAGGCATATAGTATAGGTCTCAGATATATAAGAAAAACATGTCTATGAAGTGTTTTGCTCAAAATACCAAAAAGATCACCCATTCTAGCGCTGCCTCATACCCCTCTATTTCAGCCCCGTTACAAACGTGCTGACTCTGGGTCCGTAGCTTTAAATGTTGCCGAGCTGCTGCTGGCCACGCCCCTTTGGAGCGTCATGCATGAGCTCTCCTCTGTAAAGAGAGAGGTTTCTACCCAGATTCTCAGCTAAATGCTGCCGTGATTAAACGTTATATTATGTTCAAAAACCACATCAAGGATTATTTCTCAAACAGTATGGAGCACAAATGCTTTTTCTCTCGCAGGTTTACCACAAGGTGAGTTCTTTGTTATATCCTGCTTTTTTACACATACTCTCTCCAGTACAGCGTTAGCTCTGAGTGTTAGCGATGCTTGCTAATTTAAACACAGACCATATTACTTCCAAAACACGTCGGGCATTGTTTCTGATACAGCAACGTATCTGATCGGGTCGTGCGCGTAAAGCCAGCCCACATTTTAGTAATATCGTCATGACCTCAGCAAATCTGTATCATCTCTGTTGTTAGAGATGTGGGAAAGGGTTTTATTTTCTGACACTTTGTGAGTCTCCTGACACACCGGGGACACACATTTCTATATAAAAGATACATAATAGGTGACCTTTAAAGCAGTGGTTCTCAACTGGTCAGGCCTCGGGACCCACTTTTTCCTTGGTCAATAAATCGCGGCCCGGAATTTTGAACCACTCAAATCTATTCGACAAAATATCGTGCTGTAATATATATGCTTTTCAGCATACAATATTAATTAAAGTGAAGTACAGTGTATAAAGAATAGTTCTACCGCAAAGTTATTCTCCGTGGGGACTTCCGGCAACAATCTTGATTCTGATTAGCCAGAAGACTCGAAAAAACATCAGAGAAGACCGTTTTTATTGACAAAACCGTTTATGGTCTCCGGTACTTCAACTCCAACGCCTACTGCATGCACAGCGTTAGAAAATTGGTGTTTGCTAAGGTCAAATACAAATATAATGTACTTTACTTGGAGTAATTATGCTGATAATTCCAAATGAATGTGGTTATGGTAATTTATTGATTCTAAATGCTGCACCTTTGACTTTGGTAATTAATGGGAGGCAAGAGGTGAGTAGTTTCGTGTGAGGGTGGTGGGGGCAGAGAGCAGAAATCCAAGCATGGGGGTCAGAAATCACTGAGATACTCAACCTACACACACTGAATTACAGATGATGAGAAACACACGGGTAGAAAAGCATGCTGTATGTGTGTGTGTCTGTATGTGAAGGTCATAGTCTGATTGGTTATTGATCTGAACCTGAACTGTATATGCTCTAATGTTTCCTCATAATTATTAAACAAGAGACATATTTTGTGTGTGTGTGTAAAGTCACATAATGTCTTGGACTGCCTTTAATCTTCACTTATAATTATCATAAACAGAGCGTATAATGACCCATGATCAGAGACGGTGGAGAGAATACATGAGAAAGGCAGTGTACGTGTCAGAGAGAAAGCCGAGAGAGAGTAATAGAGCTCTTTGCACCTGCCCTCTCGCACTTTTAACATAATGATCTTTACAAGATAATATTCCCCTCCTTTCTTTGCAGTTGTAAGTTCTTTGTATCCTTATTTCCTCTGGATAAATCAAATGTAGGCGTTTAAAAGACTGCATTATTTCCCATAATAGAACTTCTTCTTTTACAGCCTTAATGCATTTCTCAGAGAGTGAGGATGGACTGAAATGTTGATGTATAAATTGTTCAAAAACACTCTGCTTGTCATACTTGTTAGAAAATGTCCATCCAGTCTCAGATAAGCAGTTTATAAAAGAGTCATACAAGCTTGTGTAATGTATTTTCTCTACCTTGTTCCTTAGAAGTGTTACAGGTGGCAGTGTTAGATACTAACAGTATAGAGGAACATATTTGTTACCAAAAGATGAAGATATTTCCACATTTCTATTAGCTCCAAACCTGCCATTGGTACTTTTTAATATCAGATTAGAGTTGATTTCTCATAGTCTGTTCAATTGTAGGTCACGTTGGCTGTTGGCAGAATGCCTGGATTTGCAAATGTCTGGTACAAATAAATCTATTGTAGATCCTTTTACGTTTTCTGGCACTTGTTTTCTTATTATCGAGGAGCAGTGAGGAAAGCTTAAGGTAGCAGACGTCTCATTTTCATTCAGTGCTGACCGTTGCTTTTGCTAGTTGAATGACAAACATAACAGGCTGCAGATAATATCTACTGCAGTCAATTAACTTTGATCCTGTAGCAGCTCAAATGCAAAGCAGTGCCTCTACTGGGCTGATCCTTTTAATACTCAAAATAATCAGTGGCATCTTTTGAAAAATGATCTAATTGTTATTTTACTTCTGTCATTTTATGTGTTATTTATATTAATCTATCATGTCTGCTGATGCTAAAACATTATTAGTCGCCTAACATTCATCCATTTAATTCAATCTGCAGATCTCTTAAACTGAGTTCTTGCCAAACGTCACTCAAAATGTTCATCAAATCAAGATAGTTAACCGTTTGCCAATAATGCTGGAACATTATCTAAAAAAAACGTCTTGCCTAAGAACCCACCTTAAAATAAATCTTAAACTATATGAATCTACTCTTGGGAGAGGACAGGATTCACAATATTTCAGCGATGCTTGAAATATTTGCTCACAATTTAATATTAAAACTAAATTGTGTTAGAAGACAGCGCTGTTTGTTGGATAGAGTGGGATGGAGTTTTGACATCAAATAAGTGAGCAAACAAATGAAAATAACAGAAAATGATTTTCTTTTCTGTTTTATGAATAATGCATATAATAAAAATGAGCAGTAACCTGTTCGTAATTCACACAAAGCCGCACTTCCAGTTCATAAACCAGCCTCTGTTTACCAGTCTGTTAGACTTCGATGCCAATACTAAATAAATACATAAACCGAATAGTCAGCTGGCAAATACTGGACCGACTTCATCAAGACAGCAACACCTATTTCCAAGTTGAATAGTGCAGAAATTGGTAAATCAAAAACCTCAAAACCTTTTCCAATCCGAATATGGTAAAGAGGTAAAGAGAGGTTAAATCAGCCTTTTTTAAATCATGACTACACTAGACCAAGTAATACAAATAACTCATTCACAATGAGTCTGTAAACACAACAACTGTCAATCACATCCTGGAGCAAGGTACTCTTTGGTATGTTGGTGTGTGTGTGTTCTCATTCCCTGCAGTACCAGGTGCACAAGAGCCTCTGGGTGTATACAAGAGCACACTTTCAATTAGCCTGTATTAGTGTGGTGTGTGTGTGTGTGTGTGTGTGTGTGTGTGTGTGTGTGTGTGTGTGTGTGTGTGTGTGTTTTCACTGGCCTAATTATCAGTGTGTTTGTGTTGCTGGATGAAAGAGCTGAATTGTATACTCATATTTTTGATACTTGACAGACAAGACACACTCTTAGCATATGCACTGGAGATTACCTGCAAAATGATGCTTTTGGCGCAGGCTTATTTTGGTTCAAGCCTCATTTAGAATCTGTTTGTGCAATTGAGAAATGTGAAGATTGAGTCTCCATATCAAAATCCAAAGAGTTTCTGGTTTAACAAGTGTTAAAATCAATGCATGTTATTCTGTTTTTTTTTCTTTTTATCAAAATAACCCTGTAAAAGAACAACACTCATAACCCATAAATGATGTAGAGGTATAAATAGTGAGAGCAGGGGGAAACCTCAATTTCAATTTCAGAAATACCTACGTATTTTTTCTAATGGCAAGCGAGGTCCGACTCCACTGGTTGCAAATAGTCTCTGATGGAAATGACCATACTTCCCACTGGATTTATATTATTTTGAAAGACATGTTCGACTTCAGTTGCCTAGAGAAACTTGTTTCTTCATAAATTGGTTCAAGAACACACTTTTAACAAACACTTTTCTGCATTATTTTGTGATCCAAGTTTGAAATATTTCCAGGTTAACAGCTTCAGATAAAAGTAAAGCAATGTTTGTTTTTTTCTTTTCCATATCATGCAATTCTACTAACTTTTGCAGTTCTTAAAGATTAAGATTTAGCTTGTGGCATCAGATAGCAGTTTGAAAAATGAAAGAATTCACTTTCTTATTCTTTTATTAAACCATAACTACTGCTTCAAAAAGGTGTTTTTTTTCCCCTCCAAAACAAAGAAAAGGATCATTCTCATCATGACTGAGAGTTGCAAGAAAACGTGATAACAGTAGATCGCCCCAGGCATGTTCAATTCACTGAACCTGAAAAAACAACAATCTAAATCAGATCCCTGGGTCCTATGTTTGGAAGAAGAAAAGAAACACAAGCATGAAAACCAAAAAAGGGCATGAGAAGGAAAAACAGACAGATGGTGGGATGTTCAGGCGGATGATGGTGGATGATGGTGATGATGGTGGATGATGATGGTGGATGATGGTGGATGATGCTGGATGATGATGGTGGATGATGGTGGATGATGATGGTGGATGATGGTGGATGATGGCTGGATGATGGTGGATGATGGCTGGATGATGGTGGATGATGGTGGATGATGGGTGGATGATGGTGGATGATGGTGGATGATGCTGGATGATGGTGGTGGATGATGGTGGATGATGGTGGGATGATGGTGGATGATGGATGATGGGTGGATGATGGCTGGATGATGGGTGGGTGATGGCTGGATGATGGGTGGATGATGGTGGATGATGGGTGGATGATGGGTGGATGATGGCTGGATGATGGCTGGATGATGGTGGATGATGGTGGATGATGGGTTGATGATGGGTTGATGATGGGTTGATGATAGGTGGGTGGATGATGGGTGGATGATGGGTGGATGATAGGTGGGTGGATGATGGGTGGATGATGGTGGATGATTTGTGGATGATGGGTGGATGATGGTGGATGATGGGTGGATGATGGTGGATGATGGGTGGATGATGGGTGGATGATGGGTGGATGATGGGTGGATGATGGTGGATGATGGGTGGATGATGGTGGATGATGGTGGAGGATTTGTGGATGATGGTGGATGATGGGTGGATGATGGTGGATGATGGTGGATGATGGTGGATGGATGATGGGTGGGTGGATGATGGGTGGATGATGGTGGATGATGGGATGATGGGTGGATGATGGTGGATGATGGGGATGATGGGTGGATGATGGGTGATGATGGGTGGATGATGGCTGGATGATGGCTGGATGATGGCTGGATGATGGCTGGATGATGGGTGGATGATGGTGGATGATGGTGGATGATGGGTGGATGATGGGTGATGATGGTGGATGATGGGTGGATGATGGTGGATGATGATGGGTGGATGATGGGTGGATGATGGTGGATGATGGGTGGATGATGGTGGATGATGGGTGGATGATGGTGGATGATGGTGGATGATGGGTGGATGATGGGTGGATGATGGTGGATTGTGTTGCAGTAAAACTTGGCATTAAAGTTAAGATTGCTGCAGGACTGTTCAATCCACTGATCCTGAAAACCAAAACAATCTGTTTGTATCCTCAAGCAGTCCTCTTTCCCTCTACCTTTTGTTTTGTTTTTTACTATCTCCACCAATTTCTCTTGATCCATCTTTTCTACCACTCTGAAGTTGTTTATTTCTGTTTTACCCCTTTTTCCCCTTCCTTCCCGAAATCATTTTTTCTTTCCCGGTCTGCTCCGTAGGGAAATCAAAGAACTTGAATAACTTTTGTATCACCACGGGAACAAAAACTCATATGGTCGTCATGGGAACAAACTCCTCCCGACACCACAGGACCTATTTTGTTCGGTTTCCAGGGGAAACGGGACGATTCCATGTTCTTTGTCCCTTTGAATGGTTTGCCAAGAGAAAATGTCAATTAAATGTTTCTGCGGGGGGAAGCAAACTTGTGGAAATTGAGCAGCTTCTGAGGTAGAGAATAAAGACGCAGAGAGAGAAGGAGGTGATAGTCAGATTATTGAAAAGACTTGAAAAACCAACAGACCTGTGGATTGGCAGGCAGCATACAGGTAGGTAAGAGGAAGAGACTCTTAATACTTTTAAATCCAGACTAAAAACATACCTTGTTGTGGCTGCATTTGAGTGAGCTGTCTATATCCACAATGCAGTATGGTTTTTATTCATGTATTCTATATCTGCTGTGTTCATTTTGTATTATCTTTGCTTTTTAATGCCTGTTTTTAAATGCCATGTTATAATGTGTTTCTGCTGTATTTCTTCTTAAATGTCTTTTATTTTAATTTGTAAAGCACTTTGAATTGTCATGTTCTGAAAGGTGCTATATAAATACACTTGCCTTGCCTTGCCTTATGCAGCATTTGTACAAAAAAACCGGGACTTCAAGTAGATTCTGGATTTCCAACATTTGCCTGCCACATGTTCAAAACAATAGTTATATTCAAGCATTGGTAAAAATGATTCCTCTCTATTTTGTCCCTATTATGAGTAAAGACTGAACATTGGGAAAGGACTCTATTAGTTCTAGGCCTTTTCCACTATTGCAATTTAACCACCAGTCACTCAACGTGTAGCCATACAACTTCTGTTTGTTTCAACTCTTCTTCACCTGCTTCGGGGGCTCGTCCCTGAATCACAATTTTGGCAGTATTCAGGATGTGATGATAACTCTATAGAAAATCAATGCAACTGTTTCAAGGTAATCCAGCCCATTATTGGATCCACTAAAAATCGGATGTTTTCTTCCCTAGCCCATGCTTCACCCTTCCACTAAGTTTGATATAAATCGAGCCAGTTGTTTTATTCGTAATAATGCTGACAGAGATAAACCGAACCGAAAAACCTCCAGGTAATACATTCTAAGAATAACTACAAATGGCATGTGAATGTTTATAAACTTACTAAAGAAACCTGAATTTATCCTTCCTAGGATATTAAGAAATGTAATATATTCTTCTTTAATGAATAATTGAGCTGAGCATATTTGATATAAAGAAAGCAGATATTGATATAAGGGCTGTGTAAAAAAGTGACACAATACGTATAATGTTAGAGAAGTTACATTTAAATATGTTGCAATACTTATAAATGCAACATCTTGAGATTTTTCTAATCTAATTTAAGAAAAACATTTGCATTATTCACAGTCCCTTCAACATGCAACATCATAGCACCATGTTTATGCAGTCCAAGCAAAAGTGAACCATTTGTAGGTAAAAGTTAATTAAAAAGTGTCTGTTTTTCTACCTGCAGTGGTAGCCGATGCCTCAGCCTTGAGAGTGTGTTCGCACACAAGGAGCTGTTCATTAAACACCCCTGAATGCTTCCTTCTGATTCATTAATGTGCTATCTTCCTCTTCCTTTCCCTCCATCTCATTATGTGTTGAATCACCTTAAGACTGACACAAATAATTGCGCCCACATGCACATGCCAACATCCCCGTCTTCCTCTGGATTTGAATGTGTGTGTAATTATCGGTGTGATAATTAAGAGCTGCATTTAAATGAGGTATTGAAAAGTCTGGAGTCAGTGAGAGATGCTGAACTCGCCATGAACCCCCAGACACAAACACACACACAGATAAATTGCACAGTGACACATGCACACTCCTGTATACTGTCTGCACACACACATTACTTTGATTAATAGACATAATTTCTGCCTCAATAGCTCCAGCACCACATGTCACTGCTGTGTGTGTGTGTGTGTGTGTGTGTGTGTGTGTGTGTGTGTGTGATTGTGTGTGTGTGTTATTGTGTGTGTGTGTGTGTGTGTGCGTGTGTTATACCCAGAAATACAGGCAAGAGAAGGACACAGAGGTGTGAGAAGATTAGATAATTTACTCGTGACTTCTGCAGTGACCTCCTGATGGAAACAACATATTGAATTATGCAATCAGTTATTGACATAAAGTTAACTAATTTAACATTTTGATTAACGTGTTCCTCATTGTTCAGAAGGACAGTGTGAAAAACTGAATAGTTTTGCAGTTTGTTCAGACCTTCAGAACCTAGACGGGGTAAACCAAACCTTTTTTTTTTTTAACCATACATTCTCAGTATTTCACGCAAAGATCTTTTGTGTATTGAACAGATATTTTTTAATGGTAGAAAATATATGTAACTAAACATGCAAGCAGGTGTATCGCGGTTGAGCTCCACTGAATCAAATGTTTAATTTGTTGTTATATTTGTAGCATTACTTATGAGACTTTAGTCCACAAAAACCCCTGTATGTGGTGACATGTAAAGACATAGTAAGACATGTGAGCAATGAATGTGCATGGCATCCACTTTGAATTGGCTCTAAGTCTGAGTGAACATGATAATATTATTTTGGATTTGTCAAAAACAGCTAACATGTGTTTATGTCGACACAAGCGTTTCCTGTGTTGTTGATACGGTGAATCGTAATGCTCTCTGACAGCTATTACAATATTCCCACAGAGACACACACATCAGTGTTACAGACCACACAGAGACTCAATGTAGAGCAGATGGTGTTGAACACACACACACACACACACACACACACACACACACACACACACACACACACACACACACACACACACACACACACACACACACACACACACACACACACACACACACACACACACACACACACACACACACACACACACACACACACACACACACACACACACCACACACACACACACACACACACACACACACACACACACACACACACACACACACACACACACACACACACACACACACACACACACACACACACACTTCCAAAATTCAAATCTCCCTCTTGACCTTGGCTGCACTCTGAAATAAATGAAACTCTGAGACACACAAACCAAAACATTCAAGATATATTAGTAATAAATAGTTTGAATAAAATGAAGTTTCTTGTCCCATTTCTCTGCAATAAAAAAATGATATGTGTGTAATTAGTCAAAGAAAGAAAAATTGTTGCCAGCTATTTTTATAAATCATTAAATCATTAAAGAAATGTAATGTAAATAAGGCAGTAGATGTTATTTTCAAACCCCTCGGATAAGAAGCTTTTCTGCTTGTTTCTGTTGTATATCATATTAGACTGAATAATTGAAATGGTGAGTTTCTATCAAGGCTTGTTATATTGGATAATAACAGTGAACATATGAGTCTGTCGGGGGGGAAACCAGCTGGTAAATCTCTGAGTGCTAATCTAATAGCTCCCATGCAAATGCTGAGGCTTTCCACCTGGTATTTGACTATATTTCTTTAACGGTTAAGTGTTTGTTTTATTGAAGGTTATTTATTTGGGTAAGTCATTACACCGCCTCCTGGAGCAATCTCAGTATTTGGCAGCAAACCAGAGTCAACAGGAGCGGATCACTGTGTGTTGCTATTTGTATTTGTTGTTTACTATTTGTACTGCAGTGTTTGGTGTTTGTATTACTCTTAAGTTTCTTTAGGAACTGTGTGTGCGCGTGCGTCCTATGTGCTTCCATGTTTTTGCCAGCTGTATGGCCCTATGCTGTGAATACACAAGCTATCGGAAGCACACAATCCCCTCAACAAGTACAAATACATAGAACAACAAACCTACAGGGGTACCACACACTCAGACACACACACACACACACACAAATAGAAGCTTAGTCAAAGTGCTGACATTATTTGTTTAAAAAATACAACATTCAAAGCAAATATAATTTATCGGGTTGATCATAAACACAGTTGGAGCCGCTAGCAATGTTTTGTTAGAGTTTGTTGGCAGATTAAATCAAAAATACCTTAGTAGCCACAATGAAGCAATTTGTAGTGCATGATAAATGTGAATAAAGTACATTTCAATGGTTGCCAGTCACTCCAGCTGTCTACTCTCTATAATGTCTCCATTACAGCTGTGTTTTATGTCTGTGCTGCTACTTTACTTTTACATTTCTGAATACTTTAGATGTTTAACAGGAGTGGTATTAAAAATGCCGTGTTCATTTTTGTGGTAGTATTAAATCATTGCACATTGATTGTGCGCCATTAGTGTAATTACTGTAAACAATGGGACCATAAAAAGGATTGTTGGCAGCTTTAATAGTCCGTTCTCTATTCTGTATTCTTCACAGAGTGCATTTTCCAAGTATCAGACTGTTTTCCCAGAACTATTGTCCCTACCTACAGGCAGCCTTCGATTTATTTTCATGTAAATCAACTTGTATGCGTTTCACAGTTTCTTAAAGTAATAAAACACAGTCATCAATTATGTGTCTGAGATTTCTGAGTTTGAAAAAAGTCTCCCTTGTAATGCGTTCAAGGGTATCATTTCAATAATATTGAATTGAGACACTTTTCATAACTATATTTTTGGGATTGATTGATTTTCTGACAACATGCTGTAGTCTGTGAAAGCTTTTGGAGGCATTTTATTATTATATTAACAAATCTCGATAGAGCACTTTCCTACTTTAAAAAAAAATCTATGATCTAGGACTTCACAAAGACAGCAACATGAAAACAGAAAACCATAAAATGTCTTCAAAAAACATGAAAAATATGGTGTATGAAACCAATATAGTGTAGAGAAAAGTAAGTGTGTTATATGTCGGCCACTCAGCAACTGGCACATCATAAATCACTGGAAGAACATACTGTATATATATTTATT